TCTAGTATATATATATAAATACTAGAATAAATATAAAATATATATATATATATTTTAATATATCTTTATTGATTTCAGAGAGAGAAAAGGAGGGGGAGAGAGAGAGAGAAACATCAATGATGAGAGAGTCATTGATTGGCTGCCTAGCCTGCAACCCGGGCATGTGCCCTGATTGGGAATTGAACCCCTATCTCCTAGATCCTAGGTCGATGCTCAACTGCTGAGCCATGCCCGGCCGGGCTCTAGTATATTTCTTAAGTCTAAGAGGAGAAATTTGTAGATAGATGTCCTAAAACTTGTATTCTCCTAGAAATGTGATGGCATTAATTCCTGCCAGTGGCCAAGACTCTGTGCTTGTATAATGAAAGAAGACAGGGTTGTGGCAAGGAGTAGAATAGAGCTCTTGGAATGCAGCTACTTTAGTATTCTTTTTTCACATTTTCATTATCATTCTATTGGCTCTTAAAGACCCTATAAGCTCTTTCTCCTACCACTAAGGCTGTTTCCTCTTCTCATTCCTTATAATTTTGTAATTTGGATTTTCATAGACAAGCTGGTAGATTTAAAAAATTATTTTAGCATCGTTAATGTATGATCGTATTCAGCAAGAATGAACTTGTTTTGGAAATTTCTTCTGCAGTGGGCATTGCATTTTTTAAATGTTTGGCTTGTCATAGGGATTGTGGTGGTGGTGGTGGTGGTATCAGTACCTGTTTGTATTTATAAACCTTTAGGACCATATAAAAGTATTAAGAGGGATAGCCTTTCCGAACTGTATAGTACTTATATTTTTGCATTTTCTGGAGAAAAGAAAAGCTGCTCCTCCTCCTCAGTATGATTGTAAGTTGTGTTAGAAAGAAGTGACTTGCTATTGCATTTGGTTGGAAGGGAGAATGCCATAACTGGTGTTTCCCTGCTATCTTTGGTTGAGTACGCTTTCTTTCCTTTCCTTACGTAATAAATATATTCCTGAAAAGTCTGTCATGTATCGAATTATATTAAATGTTTCCAAAACATTTATAATCATTTTTAAGTTAAGACATGGTAGTGAGTCCTTTTATAAATGAATCATATACTTTGAACTTTATATGATTCAAATTGCATAAATGTGCAATAAATTAAACTGAATGTATTTATTAACAAGGGTACATGGGGTAATTTTTTTTTTTGAGGTTAATGACAAAAGGATTCCTATAAGTGAATTTTAGACAGAATTCTAAAGGAACAATCAAGGCAGGTGGGAGAAGTTAGTAGAGCTGGTGAGAAAATTTGAGTAGTGTGTAAAAGTGATCAAGTTGGTTCTGCAGTATAATAGTCACTGTGCGGCAGTAGTCACCTGCTTTTATCTTGGTTCCACATGAAGACATAATTGTTTACTAATACAGAGCAGGTCTTCTGCCCTGCCCTGTACTAGACTAGAAAATGGCCATGAGTCTTTACATAGTTCCCACCTTGTTATGTGGCTCAGTAGCTTATAATGTAAGAAATGCTAATAAGAGGGTGGAACATTTCTCTGCATTTGAGAACTCAAGGGCACAGGGAAATGAGAAGCTTTAAGCTTTTAGTCCTATACCTCTCTTTCTAGCTCTGGCTTTTCTTTCATTGAAGGGCTATGGGTTTTATTTGAGAGGAAATGTGCCTATCCTGTCCCAAGCCAACAGTGATACGTGGCCCCTAACAAGTGTTCCTGTGGGGAGACCTTTGGTTGTCCCATCGGAGAAGATGGGAGGGTTTTCCCCTGTTTATAAACTAGGGGTTGCTTATATTTGCTTTGTGTGCTGTGTCGTTGGGTATTCTCCTCTTTTCCCTAAGCTAAGCTCTAAGCTAATTCTGTACAAAAGAAATACTAATTAGTTGTTTTTATAAATTGCTTGCGATTAATGCCTGATAATATGGAGTAAAGTAAGGTTTCTGCATACCATTATGTATGTCAAATATTACAAACTTTAAGGTTCTTTTGAAATTATACTAAACTCAGTTCACTTTTGCTTAGCCTTCACAGTTGTTGATCACATAGCATGGTCATCCACTCACAGCTTAAAAAAATACAGGGAGCATCGGAGAGAATGGGTAAAGTAAAATTTTGATGTTTTTAAAATAGCACCTAAATCTGTGAAAGTTGATTTGAATTATTGTTTGTATGGGAGGGTTTGGGTGGGTGGCACTGGAGGGACGGGGGTGGATATTGGGAAAATAGCATGCACCATGTAAAATGATGTCAGATACCATCTAGGCTAAGGTTTTAAGTGTTAATACTACAGTTTAAATCTAAGTCAGTTTCAGAAAAGGCAGGACCGTAAAATGGCAGCGTTGGGATTTATAGTGTGCTTAAATTTTCCCTCTTAATAGATTGAAGGGCATTTGGAGAAGAGCAGTATTTGAGTACTGTTTGGGAGCACCCTTCTTTTTAGATAGTGTTCACGTTCCCTGAGTGAAACTGCCTCAGTACCACCTTAGGCTCTGTTGCATTACTGAAGGACCTCAAGAGGAATAATATGCATTCCAGTTTTTATTGTACACCTGTGACTCAGGTGTTCCCAAATAAAGGTTATATATAATTCATAAAACTCATGAAGAGGTTGAACAAAAATATAGAGGTTAAGAAAGTTGTTGCTCTAAAGCAGGGGTGGGGAACCTTTTTCCTGCCAAGGGCCATTTGGATATTTATAACATCATTCGCAGGCCATACAAAATTATCAGCTTAAAAATTAGGTATGACAAAAGCTCCTAGATTTACTGAATTTTGAGTCCTGCCTGCGGGTGCCTTGGTAGGGCCGGACCAAATGATTTCGCGGGCTGTATGTTCCCCACTCCTGCTCTTAACATGTTGCTTGGTAGGAAATATTAATAGAAAAAGTTTGTTGTTTCCATTTAATTGAAGAACACTTTGCCTGTTCTAAATCAAGTTTCTAATTCTAAAAACTTGACATTGTAGTTATGTACAAAGTCTAATGAATTATTATGAAGGTTATAGGGCAGAGAGACATCCATGTTTTTATGGGTAGGACATTTTGTTGTTGTTAACTCAAATAAGTTAGCCTAATCTCTGTCCCATTATTTTTAAACTTTTAATTTTTTTTACTTTGTTTACACACAAAGTCTGGGTTGAAGTAAAAAATGGAAAAATTATTTAAGCAGTCAGGTTTTACCCCCAAAATTTGCTATTCCATAACTGCTATTCCGCTACATGAAGCCATTTGCCAAAGCCAAATGTGATTTACTTACTATTCCCCAAACCTTCCTGCCTCTGTAAACTTTGTCAAAGACACTACTTCAGTTTGGAATACTCTTTTTTCTTTTTTCCTTTGATCTAAGTCTCTCTTTCCTTCAAATTTTGGCTTCTACTTATATGAAGCCTTTTCTAACCTCTTCAGACCTTGGTGGTCATTCTAGTCTTTGAGTTCCCAAATACTACTATTTAAACATTCATGTGGCACTTGGATCATGCTACATTGTATTCTTTCTACTTCATTTGAATGTCCTATTTCTCTAGCAAAATCATGGGCTCCTTGAGGGTAGAGAGCTTGTCTTCTATGTCTCTTTGTAACCCCTTTGTATACCACAGAGGATGCCATCCATTCACTAATAGGTTTGATTCTATGATTTTGATCCTGTTAGTGTAACAGGGCAATTGTTTTTTCTTAACTTAGGTGATTTTTATATGAACATATGCCCAGAAAACCGAAAGATAAAGTACATAGAATGCATAAAATAATTCCTTGTATTATAAGGAGATTGAATCATATTTGTTCCCTACTGATTGTAGTCCCCCCCCCCTTTTTTTCCAAATGGGTGCCGTTTTACCTAGTTTTGAAAAACATGGTTTGGGCCAGATATCTTGACAGAAACCAAAATTACTGATATTTTTATTTTTAAAAATTTTTGATGGTTTAGCCAAATTATACTTTCATGGCATAAACCCAAATTTATGAAATACTACAGGACATGGTAATGTACCAAATTATTTTACAGTGTTTAAGTCTCTTAAGTAAAACTTAAAAAATACTAATAAACAGATACTCAGTTGCTAGTCCCTCTCAGGGTATTCCTGTATCTCAAATTATTAGGGGTCTTATTATTTTGTTATTGTAAAAGTTTTTATAATGTATAGGCTGATTTTTGATAGCTGTGTATATTGTGTTTACTACAGTTATCAAATGTATATAGAGCAACCACTTAAATACAATGAGGAGGTATTTTAAATACTTTTTGGCGTTTATAGAAACTGATTTAAAGTTCATCAGGGATGTTTGCTAAATTGATATTTGGAATTGTTTATATTTTATCTGACAGCTGTGTCTTCAGGGCACATGTGTCTTAATATTAGATTTAATGTGATTTCTGAAGCAAAAACAGTCGCTCTACTTGATGAAATGTTTGATTGGTAAAACTTCTGTGAATCTTGATTTTATTCTAAGGCCTGGCTTATCATCTTGAGCCATTAGTTTGACAGAGCACTGAAACAATACTGCTGTTGCATTACTGAAAAGCTTAGATACATACTTGTAGCAGAAGACTCCTAGCTGTGGAAGGTATATTTTCTCTCTGCTTAAAAAATATATATCATTTTTAAATTTCTTAGGATAATTTGGGTACAGATTTAAAATAAAACATTTTTTTCTTATATGCCAAGAAGCAAAAAGCCTCTAATAGCATTGCCATTCTGGTGTGAGCTTACCATAGTATCATTCTAACAAGAGCTTAAGGCCCTCACTAAAGTCTGAATGAGATGTATGTTTTAAAAAAACATTTTTTAAAACCCCAGTTAGTCCAAGGACCACTTTCGAGAGCTCCAGCCTTGGACTTTTAAAACTATGATTGGTCATATTCTTCCCTAGGGTTACACACTTGTTAAGCCAATATTTAAAAAAATAAAACACCCTGATTTTGTTCACTTTTGTTTTCATATACAAGAATCTTTACAGTCAACATGTACTTCTAGATGCTGTATTGAAATTGCTGGCAGTCTATTCTATACAAACTGAACAATCTGGCCCCTTGTTTTATTTGTAAAGGTTCAATGTATCTATGCCTGCCTACTTCAATCTGCAAAAGGGAGTGTCAGAAAGGCCCCGCATTCGCCGAGCCGTGAGTTATTGCTAACTTTTCAGATGTGTTAATGAATGTGGAACAAAAGCAGTTGTGTTTAAAAGGAAAAAGGATCATCAAAATTATCTTTATTACAGTAGCAGGCGTGGACACTAAATGAATTATTCCAAATTGTGGTGTCAAAAATAACCTACTTAAACTAGAGACTAGCCTCTAGAAAACCTATTGTTGAACTTCTCTGAAGCTATCATTTTAGCTATAAATTACTGTTCTTAAAAATATATATTCCTTGGAATCAGAATGTTTTTTAAGTCTTTTTAACCACATTAAAACAATTTGAACAAAATCTTACCCCACCTAAAAATGACAGTATTTAGTTGACTTTGAGTTAGCTCTTCAAAATAAGACCATGTAAAAGGGGTAAAGTTTTAATCTTTTTATATTCACATGTGAAAGACAGAAATTAATTCAAATAATTGAATCACTTCCTAGGTGAAAGTTTTTAGAGTGCTCCAGGCATCATGTGAAGTACAGCAGTATTTACAACCTATTTTAGCAGCAACAGTTCTCGCTTCAGTAATTCACCAGTAGGTTTTCATTCATCAATGATATCAATTTAAGGCTAAAGTAAAACACTACATTTTTTAGGGCTATCACTCTTCATAAAGGAATCGTCATTAAGAGTTTTTCTTTTTTTTTCCCTAAAGAGATTCTAAGCAAAAAATAATGTTAACTGCCATCTATATTTTGTTATTAGAGTTGGTTACCTCTTTTTTCTCTCTCTTAGAGTCTATAAAATTTTTAGTGGATAGGCATCATTAGCAGGTTGAATGCTTCTATTGCTTAGGAAGTGTGTTGTGTTATATGAAGACAGAATGAATTTAAGTGTACCCAGTTAGGCCATATATAGCACAGGCTACATAAAACTTGGAGATGTGGGACCTTTGGAGGCATTACAGTTAACTTTTCATTTAGGCAATGTGCCTTTGTTTGACTGGTGTGTAAGTCCTTCTTCCAGGTTTGTACGCTCTTAAACACGTTATTCTACCCTCTCTAACTCCTCCCAGCAGCAAAAGGGAGACACTTCAGCTGGAACAAAATAGTGGAAGAAATGGCGTCTGGGGTTCAGTGGGGATTCGCAGTGTGTATGCAATGTTTGCAAGATTACTTTTTATGTTTTTTAATTAATGTAAATAATTACAAAATAAATCAATGCTTAGTGTCAAGTAGGGGACCTTGTATACCAGTAGAACTCTCCTAGTGGGTCTGCTACAAGTTGCTTAACCTCTCTAGGCCACATTTTCCTCATCTGCAATGTGAAGGAGTTGGACTCATTAATCGTTAAGGTCCATTCCTGCTCTAAATCCTATGCTTTTCTGAATTACTTTGTTTAACAGAATGCATTGCTTTCCCACTTGACTATTTGAATTACACATACTGCAGTACACATACTGCAACTGCATGTTGTCTAAGATAGTTTTTCTATAAGATATTATATAAGAACTAATCCCTCTTGAGCTGATTTATAAATGTGTGCGTGTCTAGCCACACATTAAAAGCTAGTGATAATAGGGTTTTCAGAAAACAAACATTTTCCAGTTGTCTAACCTTGAATGTTATTAACTTTTCTATATTACAGGAGATACTACTCGTCAACGAATCAAATTCAGTGACGACAGAGTATGCAAGAGTCACCTTCTCAACTGTTGCCCTCATGATGTCCTCTCTGGGACTGTACGTATTTATTAAATCTATTATTTGATAATTTCATACTATAAAAATGAACTACTTGATAAAGTTAATTCCTTGTCAGATTATTACGCAGTGATTTTTTAAAAAACAACAACACATAAAACACTGCTGTTAGGGAAGGGATTTGCATCCCTGTTTATTAGGTTGATGGTTTAATCTGCAGTAGTGGGATTCCTCACAAAATTAATTATTATGCTTTCCTTTATAATTTTTTTCATTCCTCAGAAGTTTTTTAAAAAGCATTTTTTATTTGGAATATAGACACAGTTATTAAATGGTTGCACTTTTAGTTCAAAAATAACAAAAATGATTTAAAAAATAGTTTACTGTTGAGCAGAGTAGACTTTATACAAAATTCCATATATTTTTGTTAAAGTTTGTGCACATTTATATTGTGGGGAACATATATTAGTAAATACCTAAATTCACACAACTTAATTGCAAGTAGTTTTGTCTACTTAAAAAAATTCATTTATATTGCTGATTTAATATAAAACTCAATTTAGATTCTATGTCTAATGATAATGGTTGATTTTAGAGTATCATCATATTAATTTGGAAGATCGTCCACATGATGATGGACCTATTTAAATGGAACAGAGAATTTGATTCCCTTTGGTTTGGATTTGTTTGAAATGATGGCTCACTGGAAGAGCTTCCCCGTAACAGGCTGCATCTGATGGTGGAGGACTAGTGGGGGCTAAGCATTTAGTTGACTTTATTTCTCATTTGCCAGAAGTGACTGAAATGAAGGAAAGATTTCTGACTTTGATTTTCAGAAGTAATGAGTTCCCTTCCTTAAAGATGTACAAATGAGTGGTTTCTTCTTGTTAGGAAGAGTTAAATGCCCCAAACAGATTGGTATCAAAGCATATAAAATAGAAAGCACCTATTTTTCCAGTAGAAAAGACTTGAAACTATATTATGTTAAAATGAAAAAAAAGCATACATTAAAATATGTATATATGTATATAATACTGAGGTTTTTAAAAATATAATGCCACAAGGAAAGAAATCCAGTTTCTGAGCACTTGAGTTGGTGCTATGACAGACAGTTAACCCTCAGACCTAGTCTTCAGAATTCCCAGTTATATATTTTTTACTGTGCTATAATAGAAATCTATAAAGTCTATAATTATCTGTAGAATACTTTCATTCTCCACATTTACTATTAAATTTAACAAAATAATTTTATTTACTGATTAAATTATCACTTCAACTAAATTTTGAGAACAAAATTAGCAAAGTAGCAGAATTTAGTTGTTTTTTTGTTTTTTAATAAAAACCAGCCATAGCAAGACTTTGACATATTATATTCTTCCAGTATGGCATTACTAAAAATATGATACCAAGTTGTGCTTTACATTTTAGGTGCACATAATGTAGTTATGCTCATTTATTTCTTAAAACAGTTCTGTTACATATATAATCTATAGTTAGCCTTAATGATGGTGACTTATTCAAAAATCATTCAGTTCTGTTGATTTAAAGTAAAACTGGGACCAAACCCAAATTTTCTGTTGTGGTCTTATTCAACATGTTTTCTATTTTGTAGGGAATATTCTTCATCATGTTAAATAAGAAGGGTGAGTGGTTGGTCTTGGACTTTCCTTGTAAAATTCTTGCTGTTGGATTTTACACATAAGATACACATTTTTTTGAACTTTAACATCTCTGAAATATGCATCTCAAAATTGAAAGAAAAATACTATCTTAATTGCTAACATTTTTCTCACAGTACAGAATTTAATGATGAGGATTAAAATTGATATTTTAGATTACATGAAAAACCATTGTTAAGGAAAGCCCTTCTAAAGGCACTTGCCAGGGAAACTGGACAAGAAATGTCTTCCTTTTGTAAGTGTAATAGAGAAGGTATTGTCTTATGGAAGGATGGGGGTTAGTAGTTGTAAACCTCTTTCAGAATTTAAACAGTTTTAAGGACTGGCTGTATAGGACTTTGTGAAATTCCTGATTTGTCCTAGCATAGTGTCCTTGAGAACTTAAACACCATCCATAGTGTGACTTTCTCATGACCCTTACTACTGAAGGGGCTATTTATAACAGTTCATCCTATGTAGAAATGGTTTGTAGTTACACAGCTGTGACTTCTTTAACAACCAATCTCTGTAGAACAAATGTTTTTCTGGCATAGTTCATACCTCTTTATGTTGAATATGTCTATGCTTTTTTTTACATACTAAGAGATGAAAAGAACTGAATAGTAACTGTTAGTTTTCATGACCGTGTTACTCAGATCTGTTACTTCCAGCAGAATATGATTCGCCAATGTTCTAGACTATCTACCAGAATAATACATAGAAATTTATTCTCTGGCTTTATTTGTTGTAAGTGGTTGGTGGAGAGTGTGATTTCTAAAAATATTCTTAACTGTGTATTAAAAATCTGGTACTCTGTTATTACTAATTCTGTAGCTAACAAATTATTCATAGGAGGAAAAATGTAGAGCAAAGAATCAAACCAATTGTGTGCGTATATACATATCTCTGGGTTATGATATTTATAAGAAGCATGAATATTTCTTATAACTTAGGAAGTTACTGTTTTTCAGAGGCTTGGGTGGTTTCCCTATTCATCTAGAATATTTTCTTGTTTTAGTTCTTTCTTCCTCCCCTTCGCAAACTTGGTTTCTCCCTGTTCTGTTCATCCCCTTTCAGATTTAGGCAAAACAAAAACCCGAAGCAGAGTTGTCCTCCCCTCCCCCCAAACACATTATTTCTGGTACATAGCTTTCCTGAGGAAAGATAAGTATATTAAAGTGCTTTAAAAAAATCTTTCCATCTGGTTCCTAGTGATCTGGGGAAAAGGTATGTGATAGTAATCGTTTAAAGAAGGCATTAAATCTAAAGCAGAGATAGTAACAAAAGCTTGAAATTAAGATCTGCAAAGATGGAAATGTATATTCTCATAGCACGCCTGTCCTAAGTTCAGAAATGGTTACTACTAATTTTATTATAGCCTTCATCATAGTATAATTTTAGTGTTGACAGACCATTATGCCTTCTTGCATAAGGTCATTATTTCATGAATGGGAAAAAATTAAGGTTCAGAAATTGTGCTAGCCAGATGTCTCATAATTAAAGAATCACAATATATTATGCCATATTTGAATCTCAGAGTAATTTAAATCTAAATACTTTTAAAAAATTTTGTTGTTAGTTTTTTAGTTAACACAGTTATCTGGGGTAGTGACTTTTAGATGTTTCTCAAATGTCCTTGGAGGCTTTGCATGTACTAAGGACATGGGGATAGGCCAGCCTATTTCAACCAGAATTTTGCACATTTTACTTAATTAATTAATTATTTTAATCCTCATCCGAGGATATTTTTTCCATTGCTTTTCAGAAAGAATGGAAGGGTGAGAAAGAGAGAAACATCAGTGTGAAAGGAGAGACATCGATCGGTTGCCTTCTGCATACGCACCAGTCAGGGCACATGCAGCCCGCAACCGAGGCCCGTGCCCTTGTCCAGAACCGAACTGGGACCCTTGAGTTCACAGTCTGACTCTAACCACTGAGCCAAACTGGCCAGGGCTGCACATTTTAAATACAGAAAATTTCCACAAAATTCTGTTCAAATAAAGAAATTCTGCTCAGGAATAGAATTTAAATTTAAAGAACTGATACTGAGAAATACTTAAGGACAGGGATGACGTAAAATTTTATCTGCCTTTTTGAAGTGAAGTGGAGGGGAGTTATTGACTGAGTTGATTTTATGGTGCCCCAATAGGTTGTGGGTTTTATCTGAAGTGCAATTTTTACTAATTGAAACTCCTTTATTGCTTCTCTAACTCTTTCTTTTAAGGCCTGGTCTAAAATCAGTTACTTGGGTGCATACAAACCTGAACTTTAAAACTGCTGAAGTCTCTTTGATAGTACATATGTAAAAGAGCCATGAAAGTATGGAGAAGCAGAATAAGTGATAAGAAGTAAACCTGCACAAAATTTTCTCAACCAGCCACTAGAATGTAAGTTTCATTATAAGGGCAGGGACATTGTGTTGTTCAGTGCTATATCCCCAGCATCTAGAACAGTGTCCCTCCATTGTGTTGAATGACTAATCGATCCACCCAAAAGTAGAATGCTCAATAAATAAAATCTGTTTCAAAAACTAACTTCGAGTTTCAAAAATTGATAATGGTTAGTGGGAAATGTGTTACCTTTTAACAGACAAGGAGCTGGAGAGTTTCTTGGTTTTATTGATTTGCTTATCAAAATATGACAGTGGTTTCACAAGCAGTTGTGAAAATTAGTTTGTAGATGTTCAAACTTTATCTCTTCCTCAGAAATAGTTTGTTTTGGGCTACTTTGTTTTTTGTTCTGTTTTTAAATCCTCACCTGAGGACATGTTTATTGATTTTAGAGAGAAAGGAAGGGTCAGACAGACAGAAGAAATATCGTTGTGAGCCTGGCTGGTGTGGCTCAGTAGTTGATCGTCAACCTGTGATCCAGGAGATTGCAGTTCAATTCCCGGTCAGGGCACATGCCTGGGTTGCGGCTCGATCCCCTGTAAGGGGGCATGCAGGAGGCAGCCAATCAATGGCTCTCATTATTGATGTTTCTATCTCTCCCTTCCGCTTTCTGAAATCAATAAAGACATTTAAAAATATATATATATTGTGAGGGAGAAACATTGATAGGTTTGCCTCCCTTATGTGCAACTTAGGACTGTCCTGACAAGGAACTGAACCCACAACCTTTTGGTTAACTGTATGAAACTCCAACCAACTGAGCCACACTGGCCAGGGCTACTTTGTTTTTTTGTTGTTGTTGTTTTTAATATGTCTTTGTGATTTCAGAGAGAGGAAGGGAGAAGAAGAGAGAGCTAGAAACATCAATGATGAGTCATTGATGGGCTGCCTCCTGCATGCCCCCTGTTGGGAATTGAGCCCTTGCAACCCGGGCATGTTCCCTGACTGGGAATCAAACCCTGATCTCCTGGATCATAGGTCAGTGCTCATCCACTGAGCCACACCAGTGGGGCTACTTTGGTATTTTGTTTAATTTAAAAAATATATATATCTTTATTGATTTCAGAGAGAGGAAAGGAGAGGGAGAGAGAGAGATGGAAACATCAATGATGGCGGGCTACTTTGGCATTTTTTAACAAGCGTTTTTAGCATTAGCGCAAATCACTGACATGATTTTTTTAAATTTATTATATCACAGCTAATACCTAGTTTCCCAAATCTTTCATAAGATTTGACTTTTGAAGTATATTATGTTCTTATATTAAGTAGTTTTGCTATTTGTATTTTATTCTTTTCAGTGTGTTACAAAAATACGTATTTCTTTAACAAGCATTTTTAGAGAGTGCCTAAACGAAAGTCACATTTGGTGCCTAGAAAGTCAGGGGCACATTAAAAGCTTCCAAGTGAATAATTACAACTACTTTTACACTTGGAAAGCCAAGTCCTGAATATAGTTTGGAGCATTGTTTGCAAATTGGTACATTAACGCCCTGAACTGTTCAGCTTGTACATATGCTCTTTTGAAATAACCTTTTTCTATCATTATGAATATTCTTGCTATCATTCATTTTATATAGTTAAAATAAATGACTTGCTATAACCTCAGACTTAGAGAAGTGATTTTTTTTTTTTTTTTTTTTTAAGGTGACCCAGAGACCATATATTCTAGAATCTTGTATGTCTCTAGTTGAGGTTGGTCGGCATATTTGTTCATTATTTGGATTAGTGGTTAAATACAAATGTACATGCATTTAAATATGATGAACTGTAGTGCTGATACCCAGTTTTTATAAATCAAATACAAATTAATTTTACTTTAAATTTTTATTCCATAATACAATATTCTATAGTGTATTTTATTATGCCTTCAGTATCAGTCTGAGGGAAGAATCTTTTTTAACTTTTTTAATGGAAAATTTCAACTATAAATAAAAGTAGAGAGAATTGTATAATGAACTTTGTGTACCCACACACTAACTTTAGTAAATATTTTACACATAGCTACCTTATTTCATTTATAGTCACTTATGTTCTTTTCAGCCTTTTTATAAGTCCAAGATTTAAGACTTACATCTAAAAACTATCATTTAGGATGACTTGAAATAATATAGAGTAGCAAAGACCAGTTACTCCCAAGCAAGTAGAATGAGGTCTGGAAGTCGCTGCTGAAGCAGATTGCTTTCCATAGTCTGGTACTTGGTTAACATATTTCACTGTCACATTTGTTTTTATGATTTTCAATAAGTACTTGTTACTTGAGAACCAGGAATCATCCTCTTAGTATTCCCTAAACTCATCAGATCTTTTTGAGGGAAATGTACAGTTTTGTAAATTACATTTTAACAAGTATGAAGAAACTAGTTGTTCTCTGAAGCGATTCCTTGAAAAAGGAAGGGTCAAGTTATAAATGCCTCAACTGGAAGGTGTAAACTAGGGCTGGGGAACGTCTGGCCCCGACCAAATACAGCCCACAAATTATTTGGTCTGGCCCTGCCCAAGCACCCACAGGCGGGACTTGAAATTCAGTAAATCTAGGAGCTTTTTTCATGGCTAATTTTTAAGTTGATAGTTTTGTACGGCCTGAGAATGATGTTATAAATACCCAAATGGCCCTTGGCAGAATAAAGGTTTCCCATCCCTGAATTGTAGACAAGTCACCACAACAGAAAAGAGCAAACACATGGTAATAAATGAAAACTTGAAACAAATATTTTTTTATTGCACAAGTGATTAGCCACAGACATCAAGGAAAATCATGGATTCTCTGTAACTGGAAGTATTTTTTTTTAATGTGATGAGTTCTACCCTGATGTGTAGGTGTCAAGAGCAAATGACCTAGTACAATCCTCTCTAGTTTAATGATTCTTTCTCATTAAGGGAACTTTTAAAAACATAGGTGTTTTACTTTCACCTATATAAAATGAAACACGTTGAATTATATATCATCCCATAGACCTTTTTTTTTTTAGGTGTGTAACATCAAAAATATAGGTGTTTATATTGATGTACTTGAATAGTGCAATTTGTAAAATTTCCAAATTTAGATAGGTTTTTGTTCTTTCTCCTTTATGGTATTAGTTTAATAGTGTTTGGAATAATGAAATTTAAGTAATACTGGAATTGAGCAGAGGAAGAAACAGAAAAGGGTGATTGAGAGGTATAGGTTTAATGAGGGTTGGATGGACAAAGTAAAGAGAATTCACAGAAAAAATTGCCCTTCCAGAAGCGATGTATTTTTCATCTCTCTGGGAGTGGTGCTGATTGGTGCTATCAGCATTCATTCACTTAAGTACTTCTCGAGGACTTACTATGTCTTATGTGTTCTGTTGGGGATACAGAAATGGACACAGGTTTGTGCTTTAGCGGTGGGAGCTTACATTCTGATGTGAGAGATACACAACCAGGCGTGAAGAAATAAGGTGATTTTAGTTATGACAGAAAAGCGTGGCTGGATAATTTAGATTGTTTGGGACAGTGGGCTAGCAGCTACTTTGGCAGGGTAGTTGGAGAAAACTTTTGATAAAATAATATTTAAATTGATCTAAATGTTAAGAAGCCAGTCTTTCCAGAGTGGGAATGAACTTACCTTATGTTACTTCCACACAGAAATTTGTGTTGGTTCCTTATTGTATATATGATCAAAAATCTAAAACCCTTTGCCCAGTCTACCTCTCCCTTGAATGAATTAACCAGTTTGGTCCCCTCTTTGGACCAAACTGATGTATACCTTATTGTCTCACTATTTTTCCTTCCCCGGTGTGTTTCTCATTTTTGCCTTTGCCTGGAATACACTTTCTCCTTTACAGATTTCAATCCTGCCTGGCTTACTGCACATAATTGCCTCAGCCTATAGCAGTTTAGCTCCTGAAACCCAGTGTAGCACTTGCTCTTTATAATACTGAATTGGCGCTTGTTACATTATCTTGTTTATGTATATTTTCTCTCTCTTTAGATAGTATAATTTTTGTGGGGTCAGGCTATATTCTTTTTTTCCCCTATTTTATTTATTTTGTTAATTAGATTCCACATATAAGTGAAATCATATGGTAGTTGCCTTTCTCTGACTGGCTTATTTCACTTAGTATAATACTCTCCAGGCCCATCCAATCTGTCACAAAAGTAAGATTTCCTTTTTTTTTTTATGTGACAGAGTAGTACTCCATTGTATAAACTTACACAGCTCTTTTATCCACTCATCTACTGATGGGTACTTGGGCTGCTTCTAAATCATGACAATTGTAAATAACACTGCAATGAACATTGGGGTGCATATTTCTTTTGAATTAGTGTTTTGGATTTCTTCCTGATATATTCCCAGAAGTAGAATTGCTGGGTCATAAGGCAGCTCCATTTTTATTTTTTTGAGGAAACTCCAGACTGTTTTCCACAGCGTTGCACCAGTCTGCATTCCACTAGCAGTGCACAAGGTTTCCTGCTATCTTTTTTAAAAAAAAATACCTTTATTGATTTCAGAGAGAGGAAAGGAGGGGGGGAGAGAGAGAGGTAGAAACATCAATGATGAAAAGGTCATCGATTGAGCCCACAACCCGGACATGTGCCCTGACCGGGAATCGAACCCCGATTGCCTGGATCCTAGGTCGACGCTCAACCGCTGAGCCATGCCCAGCTGGGCTCCTGCTATCTTAATAAAAAGTAGATGCCTGGCCAGGTATGGCTCAGTGGTTGAGCGTCAACCTAGGATCCAGGCGATCAAGGTTTGATTCCCGGTCAGGGCACATGCCCGGGTTGCAGGCTCGATCCCCAGTCGGGGGCGTGCAGGAGGCAGCTGATCAGTGGCTCTCATCATTGATGTTTCTATCTCTCTCTCTCCCTCTCCTTTCCTATCTCTGAAATCAATAAAGATATATTTAAAAATAAATAAAGTAGAGCTTTTGTTTTGTTTTTTTTAAGTGAGATAAGTCAGATGGAAAAGGATAAGAATAATATGATTTCACCCATGTGGGATATAAAGCAATAAGTGAACAAACCAACCACCA